CGCGGTGTTCGTATAGTGGTTAGTACTCTGCGTTGTGGCCGCAGCAACCTCGGTTCGAATCCGAGTCACGGCATTGTGGGAACAATGGCACGGCAAGGGCGTCTTTTTAGACTCGGCAGGCGACATTCTCCCGCATGTTTGCTGGTACCTCTTAACAGGTCAGGGCCGAAATCGTTAACAGGGAATTGCGTGTAGGAACGACGGTTCTGTGGATGGCTGGGCCTTTCCTTTCCCTTTTTAAATTCTTTGGTAACAAATCAGCCCACCCTCGTCTCCCTCAGGGTGAGATGATTTTATTTTGGGGTATATTCTGTGCGGTACTATATCTCTCTTCATTTGGCCCCCACAATGGTCAAAATGATGTATTGGGTCCTCTAAAAAGCCCCACACTAAAGCGTTAGTACTTGGGGTACAGGGATTATAGGAACAACACACAGATGTGCATTAAGGTTTAGAAGAAAGCAGATTACACATTACCCCGAAATATTCTCGGTTCAGGTTCTGGGGCAGGCCACAAATATGAGTGCAGTGGAGCCGCTGGGAGGGGCGCCAGTGAAGGTTCGTGGCCACCACCCCCACAGTCTGGTGAGAGGGAATTTTCTCCTGGACGTTTATCCCTCCCAATCAACCTCAGCTCTCAAGAAAGTTTTACTTGTTGGTCTGTTTAATGTGCACTTAAAAAACCCAAACTCAACCAATCTGGTCTGTCCTTTGCCATTAGGTAAAATGGAAGTGAGTTTCGGATTTGGCTGTCGGTCAGCTGGTGAAGGCTGTGTCACTGTCAAGGAGAAAATGAGAGAGGATTGAGTGAGGAATGAGCTTTCCAGCTCCTCTTCCCAGGGGACTTGGGGGTGGCAAAACAAGTCAGGGAGCATTCCTGGGAGAGGTGGACATTGCAATCGGGTTGCCCCCCTTTACCCACAATCCATCAGCACAGAATTACAGAATAGCGCATACAAGCAAGATGCTACTCCAGCTGAAATTCCGGGGCCTTCCGCTACCAGTTTCCTAAATTTAGCATGTTTAAAGCCACAGAACCTGCCAGCTCCGTCAGTGAGAGTGTTCTGAGCAAAATAGCACCGAGGGATGTGAGCCTGAGAAGTGGCCAGGCTTTGGATGACTAATTTCAGAGTCATGTTTCTAGATACTATCACTGACCCCTCCCCCCCCAAAAAAAAAAAAAAGAGAGAGAGAACTGGCCAACAGGAATGTGGGGACTTCTATTCCTAGGACCACTGACCAAATAACTACCCGGAGGCTTTTAAGTTTGTGGGCTGGAGTGAGAAGTCAGGGTGGGAAGTGAGGCAAGGCTCTGGCTTTCCCCTGGTGCCCTGCCTACCCCATACTGCTCTCAGGCGGGACTTCTGCGCCCTGGGCACTGAGTGCACCAGAACCTGGAGAGAAAGTCAGGAGTAGTGAAGAGTGTTCCAAGGAGGAACAGCCAAGAAAACAAAACCCATGAACCCTGCTGCCATCTGATGTTACCCACCTGCCATCCACTTTGGAGTCTAGGAATGCAAAAGGAAACTAAACTGAACTTAAACTGTTGCATAGTGACAGGTTGTGCAAAGAGTAACATAGTTGCAAGAACAGGAACTGCGGTGCTCCCCTGGATTCTAGTTGCTGGCCCTCTCTGCAGGTAAACAGTCAATCTTGGAGACGGGTGCATCCTGCTCACAATGGTTCAACGTTTCATAACCTCTTTTTCAGGGGTCACTCAGTCAATTCCCCTTACTCTGATTTCAGGCCCCAAAATGGACTTTGAGAAGGGTTTGACTACCCATCAGACTTTCCTGCAGAGAGTCTTGCTCTGAACAAGCTTCTAATTTGTTGGCACTTGTTCTCCTCACTGTGGGTATTTTGGTTTAGAATCTTAAGCTGCTTGGTACCATCCATTTCCCTTAAACCTGTTTATCTCTGGGTACTCTGGCAAAAGGCAGTTTCTGGGCTGGCAAAGCTAAGAACTAGAAACCCTGACTTGGAAAGGTTGCAGGACCAAGATCCTGCTGCCCTGGGACACCCTCTTTGAGCAGTCACTGGGCGGCCCTTCCATTTGGCCTCTTGCTTTTAAAATTGTTTTGTGATGTCTGATTCTAGGGACGTGGTCTATCTTACCACCCCTTCCAGCCTGAGGTCTGAGCTCCTCCAGGTCTCAATACCAGGCACAAGTAAGCAGTGGGAGAGCTCTCTGCTCACCCCTTTTAGCTCCAATGGTCTTCTTGGTTGGATTGATTTCTTTTTTTTTTTTTTTGGAGAGATTGTCGCTATAGGGTGCCTGCGCTCGCCAGACAGAGAGAGACATAGAGACAGAAAGTGAGAAATCACCCCCTAGGGGAGATGGTCACACCGCAATCCCTTCTCCTCCATTCTCCTCTCAGGATCTTGCGCATGCATGCACATGCGCCCGGCGTGAGTTTTAAGCCACCGGGTCCGGGACACGAACCGCAGTCGCCTACGTGGGAGTTCAGCGACATAGTCATTACGCTAATGGCTGGTTCCCAAGGATTGATTTCTTTTTTTTTTTTTTGGAGAGATTGTCGCTATAGGGTGCCTGCGCTCGCCAGACAGAGAGAGACATAGAGACAGAAAGTGAGAAATCACCCCCTAGGGGAGATGGTCACACCGCAATCCCTTCTCCTCCATTCTCCTCTCAGGATCTTGCGCATGCATGCACATGCGCCCGGCGTGAGTTTTAAGCCACCGGGTCCGGGACACGAACCGCAGTCGCCTACGTGGGAGTTCAGCGACATAGTCATTACGCTAATGGCTGGTTCCCAAGGATTGATTTCTTTTTTTTTTTTTTGGAGAGATTGTCGCTATAGGGTGCCTGCGCTCGCCAGACAGAGAGAGACATAGAGACAGAAAGTGAGAAATCACCCCCTAGGGGAGATGGTCACACCGCAATCCCTTCTCCTCCATTCTCCTCTCAGGATCTTGCGCATGCATGCACATGCGCCCGGCGTGAGTTTTAAGCCACCGGGTCCGGGACACGAACCGCAGTCGCCTACGTGGGAGTTCAGCGACATAGTCATTACGCTAATGGCTGGTTCCCAAGGATTGATTTCTTTTTTTTTTTTTTGGAGAGATTGTCGCTATAGGGTGCCTGCGCTCGCCAGACAGAGAGAGACATAGAGACAGAAAGTGAGAAATCACCCCCTAGGGGAGATGGTCACACCGCAATCCCTTCTCCTCCATTCTCCTCTCAGGATCTTGCGCATGCATGCACATGCGCCCGGCGTGAGTTTTAAGCCACCGGGTCCGGGACACGAACCGCAGTCGCCTACGTGGGAGTTCAGCGACATAGTCATTACGCTAATGGCTGGTTCCCAAGGATTGATTTCTTTTTTTTTTTTTTGGAGAGATTGTCGCTATAGGGTGCCTGCGCTCGCCAGACAGAGAGAGACATAGAGACAGAAAGTGAGAAATCACCCCCTAGGGGAGATGGTCACACCGCAATCCCTTCTCCTCCATTCTCCTCTCAGGATCTTGCGCATGCATGCACATGCGCCCGGCGTGAGTTTTAAGCCACCGGGTCCGGGACACGAACCGCAGTCGCCTACGTGGGAGTTCAGCGACATAGTCATTACGCTAATGGCTGGTTCCCAAGGATTGATTTCTTTTTTTTTTTTTTGGAGAGATTGTCGCTATAGGGTGCCTGCGCTCGCCAGACAGAGAGAGACATAGAGACAGAAAGTGAGAAATCACCCCCTAGGGGAGATGGTCACACCGCAATCCCTTCTCCTCCATTCTCCTCTCAGGATCTTGCGCATGCATGCACATGCGCCCGGCGTGAGTTTTAAGCCACCGGGTCCGGGACACGAACCGCAGTCGCCTACGTGGGAGTTCAGCGACATAGTCATTACGCTAATGGCTGGTTCCCAAGGATTGATTTCTTTTTTTTTTTTTTGGAGAGATTGTCGCTATAGGGTGCCTGCGCTCGCCAGACAGAGAGAGACATAGAGACAGAAAGTGAGAAATCACCCCCTAGGGGAGATGGTCACACCGCAATCCCTTCTCCTCCATTCTCCTCTCAGGATCTTGCGCATGCATGCACATGCGCCCGGCGTGAGTTTTAAGCCACCGGGTCCGGGACACGAACCGCAGTCGCCTACGTGGGAGTTCAGCGACATAGTCATTACGCTAATGGCTGGTTCCCAAGGATTGATTTCTTTTTTTTTTTTTTGGAGAGATTGTCGCTATAGGGTGCCTGCGCTCGCCAGACAGAGAGAGACATAGAGACAGAAAGTGAGAAATCACCCCCTAGGGGAGATGGTCACACCGCAATCCCTTCTCCTCCATTCTCCTCTCAGGATCTTGCGCATGCATGCACATGCGCCCGGCGTGAGTTTTAAGCCACCGGGTCCGGGACACGAACCGCAGTCGCCTACGTGGGAGTTCAGCGACATAGTCATTACGCTAATGGCTGGTTCCCAAGGATTGATTTCTTTTTAAAACATTTTTATTTATTTAAATTTGATGAGAGAGAGAAGGAGAGAGAGAGAGACAGAGAGAGAGAATGAGAAAGCAAGCCGCCAGGTCCAGGACTTGAATTGCGGTTGGCCATGTGAGAGTCCAGCACCTTAAACACCATACGACCTGCTAGCCCCTGGATTAATTTCTTTCAGAGACAGGTTTCTAGTCTCCATTCTGAGTCACTTTGACTTTTTTCCCTCTTCCATCCAACGGACTGACGTACAGTAGCTAACACCCTTCCTCTAAGCTAGTTCATCTCTAACTAAAGGGTGGCATAACTCAGTAACAAAGTCTCTGGCACCTGGAAGTAAACTGCCTAGGGTTTGAATCCTGATGCATCCATTTATAAGCTGTGTGACATCGGGCAAAAAGCATGACATCACTGTGCCCCAGTTTTCTCATTTATAAAACGAGGGAGAAAGGAGAAAGCAGACTTAATGTGAGGATTAAATGAGTTATTTGTAAACAGTGTGTGGCATTTACTGTGCCCTAGAGAAGTTTTGCGTAAATAAAATAGCAGGTGGGAAAATGACATAATGAAGCCAACTCCTTACAAATGAACACAGTGGAACTTAAGCACGCAAGTGAGTGCTGTGTTTCAAAGTAGGCATTGCACATTCTCCAGCTGCCTGAAATATTTTTAGAACTCTTGTTTTGGGATTATCTTCAGGGCTAATTTATAAGGCATATGAGTAAATCCACCTCAGTATTTATAATTGCATTCTCTCTTTTGAAGTGATTTTAAAATTTCTTTTAACCTACCTTCAAGTAATGGATGTCACTGCTGAGGCTTTTAAGGTGAAACAGGTTTGAACAATTCCAAGAATGTTTTAAGCAATATCCACGCAAAATATTTTTAATATAAGCGTGTATACTTCCAGGGGCAAACTTGAAAGGGGACAACAGTAAATTATAAGCTTCCGATTGTTTGCTTAAACAATCAGCCTCATGGTTTCCTGGTTACACGGGATGATTGGAGCACACCCACAGCTGAGTGGCAGCCACTCCAGTGGTGTGCCGGCGGCGGGTTGCCAGCCACTAGACTGGCAGCCTCCGCAGCCCATGGCAGCGTGTTCAACTTTGGAATCGTGGTCCACAGCCCTGCACTTCTGGATCAAAATCTTCCTCTTCATCATCTTCTCTTTTTCTTTCTTCTTCTTTTTTTGTTCTTTTAGCTTTTGTTATAGGGTGCATGTGCTTGCCAGAGAGAGAGAGAGAGAGGGAGAAAAAGTGAGAAATCACCCCTCAGGGAGGGTAGCCATGCTGCAATCCCTTCTCCATTCACTCCTCAAGCGTGTACACGCACTTGCTTACACACACACACACACACACACACACACAGAATCACACACACACACACACACACACACACACGACATGATTTTCAAGCCGCTGGCCCAGGATGTATTAGGCCATGTGGTCTCTAGTGCCTTAGCCTTCATGCTACTTGATGGCTCCAAAATCTTCCTTTTAGCAAGATCTGCCCTAGAGGGTTCATTTGCATACGAAAGTTTGAGAGGGACAGGTCTAGGGCCAGGCTCTAATGAAGCTTTTCATTGTGAATGCTTGGGCTCCTGGAAGGGACCTGCCCAAGTCTCCTGAGCCTCATCAGTGGGGTGGCATTGAGGTGTGGAGGGTGATAAGATGGCTCCCCGAGAGTGAGTCACCAAGGAGCCTGTTTGGGAACAATGGGAACGAGGCAGCCAATCTAAATTTCCACTAGGAGGTGCTGCAGCCCAGGAGGCAGGTGTGGAAAACTGAGACTGAAAAAGACCTTTAATTTGGAAGAGTCCACTTCTGAATTAACTGAGCCCATTCCACGGGGTTCTCTGAATGTTCAGGATTCACGTTTCACTCATTCACTCTTCTGTTCTTCCATTCCGTAAACATCTTTTAGCTCTTCAAGTGCTGTTCATCACAGAGGGCTGCAAAGCTGCAGGTGCTTCTTACCCAGAGTCCTATGTTTTCCAGTTGAGTTTGTCAACAGAGATTTGTGCCTAATCAACATGCCCAGGGGGGCTCGGGCTGCTCAATATGCATATTTGGTCTTTTGTTTCTAGGTACTTCATTCCACACACCCCCAAAAAAGGAAAAAAAAAGTTGTGGGGAGATCCTGCAGATCAGTCATGAGACCTGAAACTCACCCCTGAGTCAAGAAGAATGCGGGAGCCGCCTCTCAGACCCAAAGGTCTGAATCAGAAGTTTCTAGATATTATTCTAGAACTTGTAAACTAGGATGGATTTTTCATCATGGAATTGAAAAATATAAGGTCAGTGCAGTAAGCTTTTCATGGATTAGTTCAAAGGACCAGCCTCTAGGTTGAAATTATACTTTTGAGGTGTTAAATGGTCATTTCTCTTATAAAATGATAGAGAAGGTAGGTGATCATTGGTAAAAGCACCTTTGGTTGGAAATATTTAGTGCTTGAAATTGTGCTGGCTCGTGAAATTTCCAAGTCCGCAGCTTACTACAGAGCCCTGACAGACAGCATCAGGTCTCCGATGAGGGAGAAGTCCACAGAGGCATGCCCAGAGGATGTGCTCTGTCAGGCTGACACCCATCCATCCATCCACCCAACCAACAAACGGTAGTCCCTAGTATAAACCGTGCTAGGCTTTGGGAGCTATCAATTCTAGTAAGTACATACATTCTAGCTATATTCTCCCCTGCTGTGAAATCATCTCAGTCCAGAGATCATCAGATGACTGAAGAACGAGTCAAAACTACACTAGAGGTATATACAAAGTGTATCAGAACTTAGAGAATTCATGCCATCAGGATAAGACTTTTGAGCCAAGCGCCAAGGTGTGCATAGTGATTTCTCTGGCAGAGAAGGGGAAGGAAATTCTAAGCCGAGAGGCAGAGGCAAAGGCAAGGAGGCATGAGTGTACAGAAAGCAGAGGGAAGACACGTCATAGCCATGACATAAAATACAGAGGGGCCAGCGAGGGCTCTTTTATCTTTATTGAGTTGGGCTTTTGTTCTGGAGGCTTATGGTTCTTCACATCTTGTGGGTAATGTCCTGCTTTGCAGATCCATTAAAAATCATAGGCTTTGGGGCCGGCAGGTGGTGTGACTGTGGAGCCAGACTCCCACATCACTGACCATGGTTTGAGTCCTGGATCTGGTGGCTTGCTTTCCCTTTCTCTCTTCCTGTGTCTCACTCTGCTCAAATTAAAAATAATAATAACAATAATAACAAATGGAATTAAATAAAAAAGAATTCTTTTAAAAAAACATAGGCTTGGGGGCCGGCAGGTGGTGTGGTGGTTGGGATGCTGGACTCCCACATGGCTGACCTCGGTTCAAGTCCTGAACCTGGAGGCTTGCTTTCCTACTTTCCCTTTCTCTCTCTGGTCAAATTAAACAAATAATAATGATGATAATAAATGAAATAAAAAAAAAACATAGGCTTGTTCACTAAAATAAGGCACCTATGGTAAAATGTCAAGAATTCAGATTTCCTGAAGGCTGTTATATTATGAGATATATGATACATACGATATAGGGCAGTTTGTGTGTTTTTGTCCATGGTTCTTGGTTCATAAATTTTTGGTCTTTTGCCCTTAGTTCCTGAAGCTCCCCAAGGAAGGCCACAGAACTGGTCTTAAAGCAATTAAGACCCTGATGAGATCAGCAGATAGTATAATGGTTAAGTTACTGGACTCACATGTAAGTCAACTGCAGTTTGAGTTCCGGACCTGGTGGCTTAACACATGCTAGGCATGCATGTGTGTGTGTGCCCAGAATCCTGAGAAAAGAATGGAGGAGAAGGGATTGTGGTGTGACTACTCACCACCCCCCAGAGGGGTGATTTCTTGCTTTCTGTCTCTGTCTCTCTCTGAAAAGATTAAAAAAGGAATTAAGACCCTAATTTCAGAGAGGTCCTGCCCCAATGATCAGAAAGACTAAAAAGAATCTGAAAAGACAGACCTTACTTCTTTTTTTAAAATTATTTTATTTAACTTTATTTATTATTATTATCATCATTATTTTCCAGTTTGATCAGAGAGAGCCAGGGAGAGAGAAAGAGGAAGTGAGAAAGCAAGCCACCAGGTCCAAGACCTGAGTCAGCCATGTGGGGGTCCAGCACCCCTAACCACCATGCCACTTGCCGGCCCCAAGACAGACCTTACTTCTTAATTTAAAGGAAAACAGAAGAGAATCTTAGCTCTTGTTGAGGGGCGGGCATGGGAGCTAATCTAGGGGTGTAGGAGGAACATGTCATACACATAGGTGTTTCCTCTAAGTCAGTCGTCGAGGGGATGGACGTGTTGGGAGAGGAAACGCATGTAGGGCTTGACAGTCAGCTCTAATATCATGGGTGAAATGCTTTCTAGTCATGGTAGTCAAAATGGCATAAAAGTGGATGTATCCGTGTTACTCTCATGTCATCATTAGTATTTAGAGTCTGCCATAGTGGCAGGTATGCAAATTTCACATGTGATTTTAAGTTAAATGGGAGAAACACATATAAAATTTACAACAAACCTTCTTACATTTTTCAGGGTCAGACCATTTTTGTGTCATGACTTCTCTGGTTCACTGGCCTCATCCTGAGTCTAGACTACTTCCTTTTATATCTATATAGATATATAGATATATACATGTGCACATACATACATACACAGAGAGAGAGAGGGAGAGAGAGCATGAGCGCATAGATATTAATATAATTAATATATTTAATATTTAGCTATATATAATATATATGATATCTAAATATATATTTAATTTATATTTTATACACATATATGTGTGTATATCTATTTGAGTGTGTGTATGTATGAGGCCATCAGAAAAGTATTTTTCTATGCAAAAATGCATCGTGACTTTCCCAACGACCCAGTATAGTAAGGGGAAATAGTAGTGTAGCCCTTCTGAGAGGAGGTCGTAGTGGCTTACAGTTTCCTTTTCACTCAGTCATCTCTCAGATCACTGGGTCTGGTTGAAGCCAGCTCCCATGTCAGAAGGAGACTCAAGTAACCCCATTGAGAGGCTCATTTGGTAAGAAACTGAGGTTTCTTGCCAAAGATTATCAAGGAAATGAAATCTTTGCTCAATAGCTGTGTGAGCGAGTCATCTTGGAAGCAGACGATGTAGTTTCATCCAAAGCTTCAGATGACTGTGGCCTTCCGTGGTAGACACCTTGACAGCACCCTCATGAAACCACCAGAACAGAGCTAAGCTGCTTCCAAATCCCTGACTTAGGAAACAACTAATTGAGATAATCAATGTCTGTTGTTTAAGCTGCTAAATTTTCAGGTTCTTTGTTACATTGCATCAAAAGACAAAATTACAAAAACATTAAAGTTCCCAATGACTTTATTTATAATTCTAGACTTGGGCAACACCACATTTTTTTTTTCTTTTCTTTTTTTTGGAGAGGTTTTTGCTATAGGGCGCGTGCGCTCGCCAGAAAGAGAGAGACAGAGAGACAGAAAGTGAGAAATCCCCCCCCGGTGGGGGGGGATGGCCAAGCTGCAACCCCTTCTCCTCCATTCTCCTCTTGGGATCTTGGGCATGCATGTGCACGCGCCCGGCGTGAGTTTAAGCCTCCGGGTCCAGGACTCGAACTGCGGTCAACTACGTGGGAGTCCAGCGACATAGCCATTACACTAACTGCTGGTCCCAAGGCAACACTATATTTCATGGAACAGAATAACTGTTCTGATGAGCTGAGCAGAAGAGTTTGGTTTCATAGAGAAAGAAGGACTGAAGACCGCGGAAACAAAGAACGAAAAGCAGACTGGCCATTTCAAAGTTACTTTTCTTTTTTTTTGGAGAGGTTTTTGCTATAGGGCGTGTGCACTCACCAGAAAGACTTGAGAGAGACAGAAAGCAAGAAGTCGTCCCTCAAGGGAGATGGCCACACCGTAATCCCTTCTCCATTCTCCTCTTGGGATCTTGGGCAGACACGTACATGCGCCTGGTGTGAGTTTACCAGGTCTGGGACTCGAACCACAGTTGACTACTCGGGAGTCCAGGGACATAGCTGTTACACCAACTGCTGGTCCCCAAAGTTACTCTTTCTTGGAAGTCAGGGACAGGGAGACAGGACAATAGAAAAATATCGATTGGTTAACATCAGGTTACCTTTTGTTGTAAGGATTAAAGGCAGAGGGAACTTCATTATCATGCTGATTGAAACTGGCCTGTTTGGGAAATTAATCTCTCTCCTGATGGCTCAGAAGATCAGATAACAACTTATTTTCAGTTTGGTGAAATGGAACTTCAATATGAGTGACTCCATTTTGAGTCTCCTACTGGCCTGTGGGGGCCTAGTGCGGGAATGTGGTCCAAAACAATGGCACCTCTTAATTTCTACTTAACTGTGATCGATAACTCATCCAGATGCTGTTCGTTGAAGCGGGCCTGTACTGTCACACAAACCTGAAATGTGAAAGTGGCTTTGGAACTGAGTAGGTGCTTCACGAAGGAGAGGTTTGTGAAAGTCTGAAAACTTTGGAACCATCATGGCCTTTGAGGAGGCTGTGCAAGCTTAAAGGAGGAAAGGGAAGAATATCGGCTGGAGGAGAGGGCTTCACTGCTACACAGCAGCAAGAAGTACGGCAACAGCATTGCCTGAGGTAATATGGAAAGTGGAATATCTACAAATGGACTTCATGATCTGGCATCAGAGAACTCCATGCAGTGGTCAGAGTGCCTCTTGGTTTCTCCTTGCTGCTCATAGTAAAATACAAGAGGAGAGAGAGAAACTCAACAAGGATTGTTAAAAAGAAAGGGGCCACAATGTGAGAATTTTAGAATTTTTCAGCCTTTCTAGCTGTAAATGATGCTAAAATTGAGTAGATTCCAAGCAACGATCAAACCTAGGGCACAACCAGGAAAACGTGATCTGAAGATAAAACTCCTTTGTCAGAATGACTTAAGGGGATGCCTCAGAATACTACCGAGTAAGACTAAAGGCCCTTTAAAGATTTTTAAGGCTAGTCCTACCCTCTGTAGTGCAATTGGTAGTGTACCAGGCTGGAGCTGGAAGCTGCATGTCAACCATGGTTTTAGTCTATGGGCCTGAAAACATGCTAGGAGTATTCATGTTCAAGATTCTGGCTGGCCAGGGGACTGGTCGAGGGGAATCATGGTGTCCTCAAGCCCTGGGAAAGGTGCCTCCCTTTCTTTCTCTTTTTTGTATGTGCTCTATCATGAATTTTCTAAAAAAGAGAATCACTGTTCACTAAACAAAAACAAGATTTTAAAGCTGTACCCTACAGATACTTTCAACCAAATAGTGGTGTTTTCCAAAAG